GTGGGGTGGGGGGGGTTCAGGTTTAAATGTCTAAACATAGGGGTGAGTAATATCGTATATATTAAAATAGGAATACTGATATGCTCATGACCTGTTTTCTGCTTTCTAGGTTTACCTGTGGCCCGGTCACGTGTGGATGAAGTAGACTCCAGAGCAGGTCTGGGTCTGAAGGTCGAGTTTGCTCTGTCAGATGATTGGCACACACAATTGCATGTTCTTCCATGCAGCCAAGAATTTAAAAACAAAATTCTTAGAGAAAATGGACAGGAGGCAAGTATTCATCAAATTCATCAAACAAAGTTTTTGTTAATAATACACATTAATAGTCTTTCTAATGACACAGAGCTATAGCATGAATGACAGTTGCTATTGAATTGGTTGTGGTTTAATTCTGCATTAACATTTCTTGGTTGTTTTTTTCTAGATTTACGAAATAAAAGACAAGTCTGTAAGAAAACGTGTTGCCTTGCTTATCAACAACATAGATTTTGATGATAAGGATATGACAAGAAGAGGGGCGGACAGAGATGAATACAACATGGAATGGCTGTTAAAAGAGCTGGATTATCAAGTTGTCAAGTACACAAATCTATCTGCAAAGGTGCGCAAGTCTGGTCTTATGAAAACTAGTTGATTTGTAGAGAAAAGTATTCAGATGATGCATACAGCTTTTTATTGAAAACCTTTATCTTTTATTATTATGCATCTAAAATGTTCATCTTATTGTATTTATTATAAATGTCTTGATTTTGTTTTTTAAATCGAGTTTATCTGATTGGCAGGACATAGAGGAAGCAGTCAAGGACTTTGCTAAACGTCAAGAACATGCATATTCAGACAGCACCTTTGTGGTTATAATGTCCCACGGCAAAAGGGATGCCATATTGGGTGTCCGTTATAATCCAATATCCAATCCCTCTGATACCTTCCCGATTGATAAAGTCTACCGCTGTCTGAACACTGAGAATTGTCCAGGTCTGCGTGATAAACCAAAGGTTATTCTTATCCAAGCCTGCAGGGGAGGTATGAAAATGACGGAAAAAATACAGTTGTTCATTGTTTTTGATATTTGAGGTCTCGTCATTATAATAACTACACATCTCACCTGTGCTGTTGAAAAAGGCTTACACATTCTTATCCAAATATCTTTTCAGGGGAGCATGGACGCGTGTGGGCCAGTGACGGTGAGTCGATGGCTATAGAGGGCGATGACTTTGTGCACAAGGAGAAAGACTTCATTTCTCTGATGTCCTGCACGCCGGGTAAAAAAATTCTGTTTGCATTTGAACTTTGCTTTTGTTAGATGAAGATGTATTAAAATCTTTAATTGAAGGGAATCATGACCAACCAAAAAAATTCATGAATAAATTTCACCAAAACATATTTTAATATTATAAAGCTATTATAAACATATAGCTTATTCAATGTCAGTTTCACTATTGTTTGTAAAGTTTAAAAGCACCTAATTCCACTACTGAAATTTCTCTGTCTGTATACAGACACCAAATCTTACAGGCATGTTCAGAATGGAACATTTTATGTCCAAAACCTAGTGGATGTGTTAATGAAACATGCACATGAGGATCACATTGAGGAATTGTTCAGGAAGGTAAATCAGACGCTGCTGCAAGAGCAATCAGTGTGAATTATGTTTCTTTAAAAAAAAAAGATCAAAAGTATTTTTCATAACCTTCAGAACTTTGGTTTCTTGTCACCAATGTTCATTATGTTCTCTTTTTACAGGTTATTAGACGCTTTGACAGCTCAGATTTGATGGGGCGCTTCAGACAAATGGCATGTAAAGACAGAGCGTCGCTGCCAAAGTTGTTCTACATGTTCCCGGGGCTCTGATATACAAGTTGTACATGTTCTGACTCCTCATCTGTGAATTTTGAATCTCCAGCATAGCCTGAACCATCTCTATACTGTATGTCTGAAAAAAGTTCTTTCAAAAAAAGAAAAAAAAAAATCTTAAACCGTTTTTAGTAGGCCTAATTGTTTACAAATGAATCAATAACTTTGCCTTTTCTCTAGAAAGAAAACCTGTTCTAATACATAAAAGTCCTGTCTTGCGCAAACTAGTTTTTTGTTGTGTGTTATACGAAACCATAAAGACCTTCAAACGACACCGGTATATATTACAATACACTCTCTAAAAATGTGTGTATAATGTGTTGAGTGACTAAAGTGTCTCTATCTGAAACCATTTGTTGTCCAAAGTGTTTTAAACAATTAAAAATTCTAAAAGTGACTCTATGTTTTACTCTTCCTTTTTATAACAGCTATAGCTAGTCTTTGCGTTATAATAACACTAATGATAGCACAGGTGGACTTTTGGAGCAAAACAATTTTATTAGATATTACAGCAACCAGTCTAATACCCGTCTCCTTAGGCACAAAAAAATGCTGCTTGTGAAGTGTTTGACTCAGGATTGAGGAAGTAAAGCTGCCTCTTTTTTCCCCCAACTAACAGTGTGAAACTAACAACGAATTCAGGAGATCACGTGAGCTCCGCAGAACCTTGTACTAGAGATGTGTTTCTCAACCAGGGGTCCTAGTGGTCCTTGACGTAAGGCCAGGGGGTCCGTATAAAGTATGAATTTTTCTATATTTTGACATGATATGTTCCCATGAAAGAAAAATACAATATAGCTGATGATATGGCCAAATACTGGACAAGTCAGCTAACTTGAATTATACTTGACTGCATTTGGTCCTCACAAAGACACAAATGATGCATAGATTAGTCAATTTTGTTCTGGGGGGGTCCTTGAGGATGGTTCTGAATTGGACTGGGGTCCGGTACGCCAAAAGGTTGAGATTCACTGTACTAGAGGCACCTAGGGAGGTCTGTATACATGTCATTTTCATTGTTTCACTGAATCATCTTTGTGTTTTTGGATCATGAAAACTGTGAGAAGAGAGACGCAGCTACTTTCTGTATTCCTGGAAAGTATCATGACTTTCTCTGAGGTACAGAGTCAGGATGCTGGAGTGCTAACAAACTAGATCAAACATACCTTTCAAGTATCACAACAAAATAACATGGGATCTGTGCCTCTAATGCTTTCAGAAAAGCAACTGAACACCAAAGTCCACTTTCTTGTATCCTATATGTTTACAAGAAAGTGGCCTATAGGGCAGGAACTGTTTAGAGTAAGTCTAAAGACACACCCTACTGTAGGCTGTTTAGCAGCAGTTTATCCTCCTCAACAGCTTTTAGAAGAGGAACGACACTTTTAATGAACTAAGGAACTATGGCGAAAACTATTAAAGATCACCTGCAAGATACTTTTGATGATCTGGGGGAGGAAAATCAGAAAAAGTTTAAAAGCAAACTGTGCGACCGGAAGACAGAGCCTCGCGTACGACGAGCTGCAATCGAAAAAGCTAATGATTCTATAGATCTCGCCGATTTAATGGTGAACACTTTCACATCGACTGGTGCTGTTCCTGTAACAATCGAAATTTTACAAGCTATTTGCTGTAATCAACAAGCAACGGAGTTCAAAGAGAACACAGGACAATGTAAGTTAACTAGTATAAAATAATTCGAATACAAATTAAATTCATAACGTTTTAATTATCACATATACAAGCGGTTCCACTTAAAAGAAAAAAAATGTGATTCCTATTTCTAATTACTCCTGAGTTGACTTCAACTCAATTTTACTTTCAATTTCCTTTGACTTTCGTGTACACCGCCATTTGATTGCAATCGTTTTAAGAGGAGAACAACATTTTAAGCACAGGAAAAGAGGCCAGTTCAAAAATCAGTAATAATAATAATTAGCTGTATTCTTCATTAACAACCTAATCCATGTATATATGTAGTTTCTGTGCACGTGTATGGATGTGCAACGTGGAGATTTACTGTAAGAGTATCGTTAACTTTAACTTGTTTTTCAGCAGCTCCACTTGTTCCTTTACCAGGCCCAGGCGCTCCATCTAATGGTGAATAAGTGTAACTGTTTTTGAACGGCGAAAATAGGTTTCAAATCACTTTACTGTTTGGTATCGGTAATTAAAACGTTCATTTATGACCTAAAATATCACAATGCATAGCACTGATTATTATAAACTCCATCATCAGTATCCCCACAATCCGACCACATGCTTGTTTCCATCTCTTTCATAGAGCACTTCATCGACAGGAATCGGACAAAGCTGATAAGACGAGTGCATAATGTAGATGCCATCCTAGATGAACTTCTAGACAAGAAAGTCATCACAGAGGAGGTTTACAGTAACATCCGTGCTGAGAAAACCCCACAAATCAAGATGAGAGAATTATTAATGGGCCCAATTAAATCTGCTGGCACTAAAGGGAAAGATGCCTTATACAACGCTCTCAAGGACACTGATGTTTGCTTGTTAGAAGACCTGGAGCATCAGTGAAAACGCCTGGATATTTTTACATTTAATGTTTTTTATTTACTTGTTGTCTAATTAGTATACAGGATACATAACGAAAGCAAGGAACTTCCATTTCACAATAACAGCAAACAAATGGTGTTTTAACATTTTAACTTGCCATTGTTTGAATGTTGTTTCCCATACTTTTTTCTTATCTTTTTATCACCAGTCAATAAACAAGCAAATCAAGAAACCAGATGATTTTTATTTTATTTTCCGCAAACCATTTTCGTTTTTTCAGACTGATGTAATTCACGATTAAAATGTTTATTTATTCAGACTCTTTATATTCCTTATTCAACTTTGCATATAATGTCTTATGAATACAATATGTTGTATTTGTTTTTATTGCTATGTGAGCTTAGTCAATGCAATGCTATACTACTGTAGAAATGCCACTAGAAATATACAGAGGTTTATATTGGCTGCAAGACTAGTCCTCCTCACCATCCTCATTATTAAAAGAATAGTTCACCTCAAAATGAAAATTTACTCTCCCTCTGGTAATCCAAGATGTAGATGAGTTTGTTTCTTCATCGGAACAGATTTGGAGAAATTTTGCATTGCATCACTTACTCACCAATGTATCATTTGCAGTGAATGGCTACCATCAGAATGAGAGTCCAAACAGCTGATAAAAACATCACAATAATCCACTAGTAATCAACATGCCTGCATGTTTGTAATAAAACAGTCCAAAACAGTTCTAAACAAACATGTTGGTGGATTTTGATGTGAGAGGACAAAAGGAAATTGACTTTTTCACTGTAGAAAGCGATATTATGGATTATGGACTATTTTGGCTGGAAGTGACAGTTTAAAGTTAAAAAGCCTTAATGATGGACTTGTTTCTTACAAACACACAGCTTTTCACTTCACAAGACGTTAATTGATGAACTGGAATCATGTGGATTACTTGTGGATTATTGTGATGTTTTTATCAGCAGTTTGTATTCACATTCTGACGGCACCCATTCACTGCAGAGGATCCACTGGTGAGCAAGTGATGTAATGCTAAATTTCTCCAAATCTGGTCTGATCAAGAAACAACCTCGGCTACATCTATGATGGCCTGAGCGTGAGTAAAGTTTTAGCAAATTTTCATTTTAGGATGAACTATTCCTTTAACACGATGTATCAAATATACTAGTAGCCTTGTCTATATTCACTGAAAATAATAAGCCTACAAACCAAAACTGTAGTTATTCCAAATAAATGCCATCACAAGGATCTTTCGACTCAACGAGTCTGTGAAAACACAAGATAGAAGCAGGAAATTTTGAATCAGAAAGATATAAAATAACATGTATGTTGTGTGAAACAAACAACACGAACGTGAGCCTTACTTGTTTTGAGAGCATGCAGCTTTTTTGGCCTCGCGAGCTTCGTTCTCAGCGTAGATCTTCCTATAGCAGTAAATCAGCACTCCAATCATCCACAACTGCAGAACTGCGATCAACACGTACATCATGATCTCAGAGATCACAGCCGTCAGCTCAGGGTTGGCTTGGGGAGTAACAAATTCAGATATTCAAATGACTTGTCAAAATGCACATTTTTGGCTTGTTAGAGGGTCTTGAATGGATCTCACCTTTTTCCACAACTGTGAGTTCCACCTCTTTATTTATTACCACATGTTCCTCATACAGAGGAAGGTACAGCGTGCGGTGGAAGGTACAGAGGTAAGTCCCAGTGTCATTATATGTGACATTGTGAATAAAGATGGCACCAATTTGCACATCCTTTGTCCACATAGTTCCTTGCCACTCTAATCTTCCCTCAAAGTTTTCATGAAGAATGGTGGGGTTATTATATTCATACTGAAAAATCTGAGAGGATAGAGATATTACTAGAATAAAATCAGATGTTAAGTCTTTAAAAAATGAGTAACTTTCTATATGCTTTGTTTTAAAACATTTACTGTAAGTTCTATAAGGCTTTTCACACTATGCTTAACTTTGGGTAATTATCATTCTAAACCCTGCTTTTAACTTTGGGTAAAATCTCACATATGCAAATAAGTGTTAACCCAGGGTTTAGGAATGTACAATGTGAAACATCAGTTTATGAATACCCAGGATTAATTATTAACCCCGGGTAAATTATGAGCAGTGGGATCCTGTTTCCCCGGGGTTTAGAATGACCCAGGATTGAATAGTTCAAGTGGAAAAAGCCATTTATGTGTCAAGCTGACCAAACAACCTGATCTGATTCAAAGAATCACTTTACTAACTTGGATAAACTCCTCAGTTCCCGCTGCTTTGAAGTGCCAATCAACAATAGCAGAAGCAGGCACTTCTTCTCTCCTTTTGCAGGAAATACAACCCAACAGAAAGCCTTTTCCAGCCACAGCCTCCGTCATGGAGTCCACTTCAGCACATCCAGTTTGGCCCTGCGGCACTACAATGAGATACATTGAGACTGATGTACAGAATGTTTAACAAGCAAGAAAAAGATGCATGGAGGTTCTGATGCATTAAGCAATGAACTGGTATGGCAGTAGGTCCCTTTTTGATCACATTTTAGTTTGGGGACCAATTCTCACTATTAACTATTAACTATGACTTATGCCTCAATAAACTTATAATTTGCTGCATATTAATAGTTAGTAGTTGTTAAGTTTAGATATGGGGTAGAATTAAGGGATCTAAAATATGGTCATGCAGAATCAGGCATTAACATGTGCTTCCTAAGTACTAATAAACAGCCAATATGTTAGTAATATGCATGCTAATAAGCAACTAGTTAAGAGTGAGAATTGGTCCCTCTGATGATTGAATTAATGATCCACTTGATAATTTTACCCTAAATATCTAATATCCTCTAAATCGTTTAGGCTATATCATTATTTCACATTAGCATGTTACAACTTACCTTGAATATAAAAGATGCAGAGAGCCAAAAATGAAAACATTCCCAGTGCCATTTTCACAGTTCACACAGCTGCATGAACCGATGCATTAATAAATCGCTTCCTCAAAATGTGTCCCACGTTTCGCTTGTTTTTATCACAGTTTCTTCAACATTACTGGGCTACAACAGCCTCAGTTCTTATTTTAAATCCAAGACGCATCCCAATCGCGTTCTTCAATTGATTTTCCTAAAAACTTACATTTAAACACAGTCCTCCAGCGATCAAATAATTTAAAGAAATGCGTTAAAAGTTTGAAAAGTAGATCACATCACTAAAACAGGTCGTGTCTTGCCGCAGACTTTGACGTTTAGGAGAGCTAAGTATAGACCTTGTGAATCCTTGTGCTTGCAACTCAACACGCAATCTGAGAAGTCACATTCAGACGAGGGGCATCCAGTTGCTATAAAATCACCTAATAATCACGTGGCATGCCGTTTTAACATTTATTCCCTTAAACTATTACCTAGTTGATGTTTCTAGCGCTTGTACAAGAAATAATCAAATAGTATCTATTCAATTCCTTTAATTCCATTCAGTTCAATTCCTTAATCACTTTCCAAACAGTAATGACAGTAATTGTTTGGTTTTTATTAGTTTTTTTTTTTTTTGCGCTATTGGATACTATGGAGATCTCAGATATGAAAAATTCACTTTTGATTTGAATGTATTTCAGTTAATACTGGTACCTAAATCAGTTTTACTAGTTTGTTTATTATTATTAGATACAAGTATCTGTGTATGAGACAGACTATATCTTACTTTTTTTACCTAATGACTACTCAAAATAGCAACTTTATAGTCCAGTCAAGTTAAAAACTGCTTCTAATTATTGGAATAGTAAGTTCTAGATAATAAGTACTGAATATCTAGTATCTAATAAATAGTTATAGAGAAATTAAAAATACATACATCATTTAGTAATAATTAAAAAAATAAATAGGCTACTATAGTCTTAAAGGAACACTCCACTATTTTTGAAAATAGGCTCATTTTCCAACTCACCTAGAGTTAAAAAGTTGATTTTTACCGTTTTCGAATCCATTCAGCCGATCTCCGAGTCTGGCGGTAGCACTTTGAGCTGTAGCTTAGCATAGATCATTGAATCTGATTAGACCGTTAGCATCTCGCTCAGGCGCAATGATATTACGCAGCGCCTGAAAATAGGCTTAACTTCCGCCAACATAACCAACGTGACCACCTGCTTGCACAGGGAACGTGCTGGGGACTATTTTCAGGCGCTGCGTAATATCATTGCGCCTCCTGCACCCATGGTATGGCTGCAAAGTTCCTTGATTATTATGTCGGAATGAGAGTATAGTTCCTAGCCATATCGGCCAAGAAAATCGCAATTTTAAATTTTCCGTCAGTCTTCGTACATGATGTAACTACAGAAGAGTCAAGTTTTAAATAGGAAAAATATAGAAACTCTTTGATCCTTTTTGAGCGAGATGCTAACGGTCTAATCAGATTCAATGATCTATGCTAAGCTACAGCTAAAAGTGCTACCGCCAGACCCAGAGATCGGCTGAATGGATTCGAAAACGGTAAAACTCAACTGTTTAACTCTAGGGGAGTTGGAAAATGAGCCTATTTTCAAAAATAGTGGAGGGTTCCTTTAAGGAACATATGTTGAAATGGCTTGCCATATCAAATGAGCATACAGGCCTGCTTTCCTAATGTCAAAATTCTCAGAAATCATCTTTATATTTTCAGTTGGATTTAAGGAATGAACATGATATCAAAATATTTTTTTTATATAATTAAAAAAATAATAATTAGTAGTATTTGGCTTATAATGAGTTAATTTCAGGGACTATAAACCAAGGACATTACTGAGATCCAGACCTGATCCTTTATGGTTGGTGTGGTTTGTGTTCCTGAAAATGAATAAACAAGTTTGCTAAATAGCTAAATGTAGTACTATGGAAACAAGATTGTTTTTACTGAATTATAATAAAATTTGCATTTCCCTCCTTTGTTAGACAGCAAATGTTTGAAATTATAAGGAAAGGAGCTCTGCTCACATTCATTAAGAATAAGTGTAGGTATTCAGTAAAGATGTGAATAGATCTTTAGGATTTTGCAATATACAGTGCTGTCACAGGGAACACAAAAGAGATTCGACATGCAAAAGAGTTCTGCTTGAATTTCCACAGAATTTTACTGTCAAATGAGCTTAGAGTAAATTACAGTGGCAGGTGCCCTTCGAAGATGCTATATCTGTTCTATAAAAGAAGCCTTTAAAGATTAACAAGCTGCAATATTTCTCGCTGAGGAAATATTAATCATGTTTTTTTGGTATATACCTATGTTATTCATAATTTTGCGAACACCTCACAATGTGTGACATTAATTGAAAATAAAGTATCATTGGTTGTAATATTCAGAAAAAAAGTCAAAACGTCCAGAGATTGACATTGTAAATTTGGAAGTTTTCAAATGTGCACCACTGTAAAATTTAGTTGATCAATTGTGTTTATGCTGCGACACAGATTTATTTTGCTGTGGTTTATCACACAGCTTCTCTGTTTACTTTTCATGGCACTGATGTTCAATGTCAGTTTACTTAGTCTTGAGCACAAGGACGTTTCATTGGACAGCAAGGTTAACAAAATATTCCCTTATGGAAATGATAATTACACTATCTTAACTAATTATTATTAGATTTAAAAAAATTATTTATTTACCATTTGTTCTGACATGCTTTATAAATAGGCTAAATCACATAAGGACCATTGTCCTTTAGACCATGCAGGCTGTGTGTGAAGGTAAAGTATTTACTCTAACATGTCATGTCATGTCAAATTGCGTCAGGGGTTTACTGAGCAGCTGATAAATTTCAGTCAAAACGTCCAGAGATTGACATTGTAAATTTGGAAGTTTTCAAATGTGCACCACTGTAAAATTTAGTTGATCAATTGTGTTTATGCTGTGACACAGATTTATTTTGCTGTGGTTTATCACACAGCTTCTCTGTTTACTTTTCATGGCACTGATGTTCAATGTCAGTTTACTTAGTCTTGAGCACAAGGACGTTTCATTGGACAGCAAGGTTAACAAAATATTCCCTTATGGAAATGATAATTACACTATCTTAACTAATTATTATTAGATTTAAAAAAATTATTTATTTACCATTTGTTCTGACATGCTTTATAAATAGGCTAAATCACATAAGGACCATTGTCCTTTAGACCATGCAGGCTGTGTGTGAAGGTAAAGTATTTACTCTAACATGTCATGTCATGTCAAATTGCGTCAGGGGTTTACTGAGCAGCTGATAAATTTCTACGGAGTGATGGTTGTTGTTTTGGTCCTCCAAAAGTTCAGACCACCCTTCACAAACACAACCAGCCATACGCAAAGCGTCCCACTTGATTTCCTTAACGACTCCCACGAGCTGGTGAACTTTTATATTTTTATATTTAGCACCGCTCGAGTTTCCAGATGCCTATTCAGTGCCAGCAGACGGACAGCAACACAACCCAATGGAATCTCTCCGCTACCAACACAACTCATAAAATCAGACTCACTGGCACGAGAGAGAGCACGTGCTCAAACCCTGTCAAAATCGAATTAAGAGGTGAGTCAAGGTTATTTAATATTTTTTTAATAACCGAAACGTTCTCGCGGAACCTGATTGACAGTTAAAGCTGTGACTGGATATCAGTTTGTTTACATAGCATTCTATACATCTAATGAGCTCTAGCCCAATGTTTTCCGCATGAAACATAGGCTAGATATGAACGTTTAATATTGAACTTACAGTTAGGTGGTTTCCTGTAAATCTTTTTTTCAAGTAAGTTTCAAGTATGAGAAACTTGATTTGTTTTTATAGCTACAATTTTTAACCAAGCATAATCAGTGAAGTTAAGACTATGAGATGAATGGTCAACAGGTCGCCTCAATAATAGTCATAATAAAGTGTCTGTGTTTTTCTTTAGCCCTCTGAAAGCAAGGTGACTATTCTTGGCGAGAAACGGACAAGAAAATATCAATTCCAAACGCATCTCTCACTGCTTGATAGAATAATGATTATTAAAAGCGTTCAAACAAGCATTCAAGGTAAGCAGCTTTATCCAATACCTACTCATTCTTCACTCTTTTAGGATTTCTACTATATTATTATTATTAAACATCAACTGTCATTTTTGGACTCCCATATTATTAAGGCGTTCCTCCTCTATTTTGAGTTTAGGTTAAACGCGCTACACTTAATGTCCTGAAGAGGGCGCAGTAAGCAAATAAATCAGGTCAGACTGGGGAAATGTAGTGAATGATGTAGATTATATACGAACTATATAGGGTAGGAATAGCTAATATTTATCTTAAGTATAGAATGATTGAAGCCTATAATTATTTATTGGATTTTTGATGACTGTCACTTGTCATGCTTTATTATTGCTCTTAATAAGGCGTTGGTAATATGCACACATACTACATTTAGATATTCCATATATTCTATTAATTTATTTCTATAATTTTAAGAACTGTATCGCTGTTTAAGATGAATTGTTTGTGTGCAGGCCTGTTAGTACACAACGCCAAAACACCCGTTACGTTTTGGTGTGCGCACGCTGAAGAGTCTTTTGACGGATTCTCGCTCGACTGTACCATAAAGTGAAACGGGCGGGGGTGTAGTTAAGCAACTCAGTATCATTTCCATTAATTATTTTTTTCTGCTTTGAGCCGCGTTTTAATATCAACGATGTCCATATTTATTTTTCTCCTCATATGTGTTCAGACTTGAGTGATTTATTTCTCAAAGCGTCACTGTACTTGTTTTGGAGTTTGAATCTACCCCTATCAACTTTTTGCCCGTCGCATTGGAAACTAAGCTCTTCTTACTATCTCTTCGCGTAGCATTTAAACTGAGGAAAAGTTCGTATACTTGAAATGTAATTTAAGTGCTTAATTTAAAGAGGCATATTTTAACAGAACAAACAATGACTAGTGCTAGTCTTGTGACTAGGATTTCGGAACGGTCGAAAGGCGAAATCACGGATAAGAAAAAGTAAACAGAGGACCGTTTTCTCTCTCACCCGGTATCATTAGCATGCTAACGTAGCCAACTAGCTTCTAGTATTCGCCTCAACTGAACAGTAACGTTACAGCTGACCGGTGCTAACGCCTAACATGGTTTATTTACTGAAGTGTGGTTTGACATTTACGCATTTTCTGCGTATGTTGACTCGGAATAGTTAAACAGAAATAAAAAAAAATTGAAAAAACTGGCTAAATTTGAAAACTGGCGACGAAAGCTACTTTATTTGTTAGCTTGCCGGCTAAATTGGGGTGCTGATGTGTTCCTGCGAGAAAGTGGATTTTAACATCACCCCTCGTACTGTCGCCCGTCTGGTGTATGAGGCCGAACAGGAAAGAAACAATGGGTGTAATTCGTCCAATGGGAGGTAGGAATTATTATTGTTATTATTAGTTTATTTAGTATTTATTTACTCTTATTAAATTATACTTACATTTATTAAGTTCATAGAGTATCTGTCATCATTAATGTACTTCATTCAGCTGAAGCATGACTTGATCATAAAAACGTTTTTATTTATTACACTGGTGGGTTTTATACTTACTGTGTGTGTGTGTGTGTGAGAGAGAGAGAGTGTTAATAGCCCTAGTTTGATTTGTTCAAACAAAACCTAGACATGATTTAGCTTGTTCAAACAGGAAAGTAAATAAAGAGGCAGATCTTGTCCCAGTCAGTCTTGTTCTGAAACCTAGTGATGAAACAGCTCAATAGGAGGTTTTCACATGAATTTGTGTTAATTTACCAAAAATCAGGAAGTTTTACACAATTTCTGAATCCTGACATTTTAAAAGGCCAGGATTCACAACTGCTGATTTGGCTATGTTTGTCTATCCCTTGGTGAGATTACTACTATTTTGTTACATTTGTATATTTGAAAGTGGTTATTTCGTTTGCAATATTCTTTTGCTTGATTCTTATGGTAGTTTCTTTGAGTTCAGGAAGGTGTCTTTCTCTGAAAGAAGAGGACACTCTGTCTAGCTTGAGTATTGTGGTGGTTGATTTGTCTCAGCATGGCTCAGCAGTTTGTGGTAACACTGAAAGGAAAAAAGACTCTGTGAAAACTGCTTAGCTGTGGGACTCTTGTCTTCTTTAACCACAGTAAACACTACACAATATGCACAAATGTCCCAAGATAAAACATGCAAAGCTGATAGTCAAGTGAGAAAAGAAAACAAAGTGTTTTAATTTTCATGTGCATTTCCATCGTGGAGAATGTTCAGCAACATGATCAAATCCAGTAATGGGTAAAGCAGCTGTTCAAAATTCACTGGGTATTTGATTGTTTTCTATTAGATTGAACTGTTGATGTTTTACACTCAAGTTAAATCGAAGGCAGTAGCTTGAGGTTCAGTGGCTTTATTTGAGTGCAGGATTGTAATCACACTAACTCTGCAAGTTTTGGTTTACCTCTTTTTTTCTTTGGGATTGAGCCTGTAACCGTCACGTTATCAGTTCAATTAAGTACTTTTCTCTTGTTTTCTCGTCACACGATCTTGAGGTGTTTCTCAAAGCTTTCAGGTGACAAATGATAAACAATCACAGAGTGATGGTTACATTGTACTGTAATCATCCAACGGTTACTCCACCCATACATGAATGACAGCTTACGTGTATTAAACACCACTTAGCTGAGTATGCAGGTTGTTGTTATGATTTTATGTTTGTGTTGCTCTGAATCTGCTCTGTCAATCATGATCTCATTTAGAGGAGTAATGCCATAAGAATATGGGAGGATTCCAACAAGACTTTTTAATTTAGTAGCAAACTTTGTCAGCTATTACATTGTTTCTTACAAATGTTTTTGATAATTATGTGGAAATGTATTAGGGATGCAACACTATGACCTTTGAAAGTTTGGGGTCAGTAAGAATTTTTTTCAAGACATTTATTTTTTACAAAACATTTCTTTTTCAAATAATGGCTGTTCTTTTGAACTTTCTGTTCATCAAAGAATCACAGTTTCCACAAAAAATATAGCAGTGCAACAGTTTCAACTGCTTTTTTTAGTAATAATAATTTTTTTAATAAGAAATGTTTTGTGAGCACCAAATCAGCATATTAGAATGCTTTCACAATATTAATTTTCTTCTGTATTTTTGATCAAGCAATAATGCAGCCTATAGGTGAGCATAAGAAACTTCTTTCAAAAATCTTACTGACCTCAAACATTTGAATGTTATTGTACATATACAGTACAACTTTTTTACATTTCTTGAATGTATATCCATTTAGTTTTGAATCTTTGAATCTCTTCCACATTTGGCCAAATTGTTAAAGGTTTAGTTCACCCCAAAATTAAAATTCTGTCATTAATTACTCACACTCATGTCATTCCAATCACATAAGACTTTTGTTCATCTTTGGAACACAAATTAAGACATTTTGATGAAATCCGAGAGCTTTCTGACCCTGCATAGACAGCAACGCAACTGAAATGTTTTATGGCCCAGAAAGGTTAAGTATATCGATAAAATAGTCCATGTGACATCAGTGGTTCAACCGTAATGTTATGAAGCTACGAGAATACTTTTTGTGCGCAAAGAAAACAAAAATAATGACTTTATTCAACAATTTCAATAGACAATACCATGACGGAAAAGAAGAGATATAATAATAAAATCGATATTTTTGTGTTCTTTGCACACAAAAAGTATTCGCATAGCTTCATAACATTACACTGTAAAAAATTATTGTGATTTTAACAGTAAAAGACTGTAAAAATGCTACAGTAAAAACCTGTTAATTGTTTATCCGTAACTTTCCATACTATATACGGTGAATAACTGTAATTACATGTAATGTAATTTTACAGTAAAATACTGTTAAAATGACGGTTTTTGGACGTGAAAAAGAAAGTCATTGCATAATTTATAGTGAAAAACCATAAATTGACACTCCCAGAATTCCCTGCATGACACTTCATATTACACTGCATGTTTTTTCATTGAAATAACTATGTTTATTCTTAGTTTTTTCTTTATCAGTTGTGTACATTAGGGATTTATCTTACATCTAATGTTGTTAAATTAATGTTTACTGCATTACTTCAGTATCGTGCGTTACCATGTTGGTGTTTAGTGTTTGTGTGAATGACACTGTGCACCTTCTATATATATATATATATATATAT